ATATATATATATAATTACAAATTTTATTATTAAATCCTGATAATAGAAAAATTCGTATAAAATACAAGCTAAAAGGGTTGTTTTGTGATTCCTCTTCTAATAAAAAATGACCTCTTGGTTGCTTCATTTATTAACAGTATATAAGTATTCACACTAATCCTGATGATAGAAAAATTTGTAGCAATTACTAACTAGCATCACCAAGGATAAATGGCCGGTCATATGATAAATATCTTGCTAACTAATATTTCATCTTCACTTCCATCATAAGTTAAACTAAGCCAAAAAAATGCAGTTGATGAACCTTAAATTTGCAAATATGAAAATTAAGAAAAGATCAAGAAATTACAACATCATTGTGCCTAAGAATGGTTCTTTAAACTATGTTAAGCTTTGAGGTCGTACAAGTACAATTAGCAAATCCCATTTAAAATCAAAGCTCTTGGCAGGTTCCATTAGGCCACAAAAGGCCAAATGAATTTTATGCATGCAAATAACTATATACATCATAGTAGAAAGACTCCGCTACTGGTGTAGATGACTTAAAGAAGATTTGTAACAACGCTATCCACACGGATGAAAAAAAAGACATTTGAGAAGTAAAAACAGGTGCAACTAATATTGCAATAGAAGAAAATTTTTATCTGCAAAATTGTAGAATGTCCCTTGCCGTAAGTGAGAATAATGATAATGAGCTTTTGGTATCAATATGAATAGAAGGAAAGAAAAAACCAAGCTAAAAAAAGAGAATAAAGAAGACAGTGTTCTAACATACAGCTGCCGAAGAACTAAGACCAGAGCTGTCAAGCCCATCTGATCCAGAAATGAAACCAAGGATGCCCTGCCACATTTTGCATGATAAGGGCAGCAACAAGATTATTTCGAATTTAAAATCACAATACATTTTCATAAAGATGATATTGTGAAAGACCAACAAACATAACCATTTTAAAGGAACAAAACGGCACCCTCACAATCATTTATTATGCAAATTAAATTGAGATGTAAAAATCCTCCCGTGAGGTATGAAAAGAGGAGAACTCAAAAATACTTAAGCCTGTCTGTTTACAATAGAGAAATATTTGCAATTTGAATGAAAATCAACTTGAATAAAATAATTAATTAATAGAATATAAAACTCTCCAACAAGCAGTCTTTTTTAAACATTTATATAAATAGTTGATCTATATATAGTTGGGCTTTCTAAGGAAAAAATCTTCCTTGTATGAGTGTAATTGTCGAGAATTTCCATTAAATTCAAAACTGCTAACATGAATTTCACTACTCAGCATTTCCTTATAAAATGTTCAAACGACTACAATGTAAACTTCTTGCTCGTGTGGTCCTTAAAAACTTTAACAACAATGCTTAGCATTCCATTGCAAGGGGTATTTTAAAATTAATTTAGAGATTCTAGAAGTAAACATGGACATTTAAAAATGCATTAAAATTCCATTAGGATCAAAGAAGCCAAAGTAAAAGAAGGTTTGCTGGAAGTTTCAATATTTGAGAGGGTGAATTTATATATGCATGGTTATCTATGTCTAAACTTCATAAACAGATCTCTTTGGTCCCTTAAATCTTTAGATGATGGTCCCCTGTTATTTTGATAAACTCTAAATCTGATAAGAGCTTGCCTTTCAGATCCAATATCAACAACAAGATGCAATTTAAATCACTCAACAATTTTGGCGCATAGAAATGATTAACCAAGCAAGGTAATAAAATAGAAAAAAAAATATTAATCTACCATAAGCCTATTCAGATCTGTCAGGTGCACTGCTGTACTGAAGTCCAAATAATGTCTCATTTTCTGGGAAAACTGTCTAATACATTGGCTTATCAGTACAAGGGCAGGGACAAAATTAATGATTCTAGGAATTTGATTAATTCGTTCATAAAATTTTGTTGACATTCTATCATAGGTAAAAACCATATCAATGAAAAAATGAAACGGATATCTTTCCACAAAAAGATTGCTTTGATTAGTCATGCAAAGTGACTTGAACAATAAGAAGCTTAAATTTATTTATTTTTTTTCACCTTACACAACTTATTTCCTGTCTTTTGCAACGCATAAAGAGCTCCCCTTGCATAACTTCCCCAATCATAATTTTTTTCTTTAACATGCATGGAGGGGAGTTGTTCTTCATCAACCCTGTACTAGCAAAAAAATTTAAGTTACCCCATTTGCTCAGCAAGGACATCCTATCCAATTAACAAAAGACAAATAATTGGCGAGGAATCCAAGGAAAGAATATTGATTATTCAAAATAACAAAGATTAATCATACTGTAGAAAATTAAAACTATTAAAGCCTAAAATAATCTCTAGACTATTCATGTGGCAAATTTAGTCCCGGAGTATCACATTTATATAATCAAGTCTCTGGACCATACAGAATTTATCTTACATGCTCCTAAATCCTAAGGGATAAAATTTGGATCAATTTTGAACAAGTGTGATATTATGGGATTAATTTGTATAATCGATAAACGAATATGGGATCAATTTTGTATGGTTGAATGACTAAATTGGAGAAGTGTGATATTATGGGATTAAATTGGACATATTTTTTTAGAAAGCAAAATATATTATATAATTATATAAATACATCAAGGGGATTTATCAAGAAATGCTAAAGCAACATAAAAGTATAACTAGGCAGAAAAAGATACAAAGATTTCATTTAGATGATATAGCTTAAAGCCTAATAAAAATAGGAGAGTGACAATAGATTTTCTTCTGATTTCTGCTAATCCGAGTATAAAAAACATAAAATATTTATTTATTTGAGAATCAACACTCAAAATGTTGCAATCAAAATTAAAAATACACTGTAACAAATATTCATTGTTTAGTTTGCCAGTAGAAATAGGCTGGGGCATTTTAAGCACTTGCAGAGAATTGTCTATAATAGTTCCAGTGGTAGATATAGTGATCAACGCCAAGGAATAAAAGAAGCTTGAACATATTCCACTTTCTCTTGCAAAGGAACTGAACTTGCATCTAAGTTTTGAACATAAATTTGAACACACAAGTGATCTTGTATAGTCAAGGGGCTATTTTGAGTTTTTATTTTTTTTTCTCAGAACTACATTTAGTGTTTTTATCATTCAAATTTTGCTTGTTATCCAACCTTAAACTGCCCTCAATCATGAATGTAGACGACAGGAACTGATTACGATGTGAACACTTTATGCAGAAAACCAAACAAATAGCTACTTCACTTAGAGCATCGAGGTCCAATTTAATTGTCATGAGACTGAAAAGTAACATCAAAGGACACAAAATGAAGTCACAATCATGATGCACAATGTTTTCAAGGCTGCAATATTTCAGATTTCAAATTAATGTTGAGTATAAATTACAGTTTCATTAAAAACGCTAGAAAGTATCAGTCCGTGTAACTGTATAGCCATTCCAAAATCAAGAACAAGAATTGACTAGCAAAACAAAAATATTTATATTTTAAGTTTCTCACATATTCATTTTTATTCATGCCGGAGGAGTTTGAACTTGATATTTTAATTTTGCTATCGATACAAGGTAGAATAAAACTTTATAAAAAAAAGGATACCGCCCAAGGTAGTGACTCTTTACATATGTACATACACCCACATATATACATATATAAACTCGTATGTAAAGGCACTGCCCAAAGTCACAATCCTGTGCTTGTGGGATGGAACAATGATCATCTCCATTGTAATCTGTTGGTCTCATGTTCAAGTCAAAAAAGAACTCTCTGCAGAAATTTGTGGTAAGACGGGAATTGAAAGGTTGTGCTCACCTGAATTTAACTTCACCTGCAAATTGTCTAGAGCACAACTGAGCCTACAAAAATAAAATAAAATAAATACAAATAAAAAGAATTATAAAAAGACAGAAGAAAACTGACAAGGTCCATCAATTTCAAATTCAGGAACCCCTGCAAGTTGAAATTAGGGGTGTAAACAAGCCGAACTTGAGCGAGCCTAAAGCTTGTTCGAGTTCGGCTCGTTTTTTTTTTTTTTTTTTTTGCGTTCAGCTCGAGTTCGAAATGGCTCGTGAATTGTCTATTCGTGTTCATCTCAATTTAATTTTTTTTTCGAATTAAGCTTGTGTTCGGTTCTGCTCAAAATAATTATTTGTTGAAATTAAATAAATCTTATAATATACTTAAATTATAAAACATATTTTTATTTTGAAACCATCATAGCTTAAGAGCCTAGTGGGATGATTTGTTTGAAAGAGAGATTCATTATATATAGAGAATAAGTGGATTTTTTTTAGAATTGGGCGAAGTGGGACTAAACTAGCGCCTTCAGCTGCTGATGGGAAGGGGAAGCGGGGCCACGCACGTTTACTAATGGTAGCGGGACCACACAATTCTTATTTTTTCACATGTTAAGTTTTTTTTTTTTTTTTATGGATGCGATAGCTCATGGCTGATAGGCTTGGTGAGTGGTAGAGATTTGAGAGATTTTTTTTTTTTTTTGATATTTTCATACACACCACCTAATTCTTCTATATTTACATATCCAATATATAAATAAATTATATTTTATTTACAATACTAACTAAATTTATTTAAAATTTAATATTTTTGCAAAGTACAATATATAAATTTAATATTTAAATATTATATTAATTTTATTTATTTATTATTTAATTAATTCAAATCAAATCGAGCCGAACATGAACAAGAAGACCTTCATTCGTGCTCAGCTCGTTTATAAATCGAGCTCCAAAAAATTGTTTGTGTTCAACTCATTTGCATAACGAAGGAATCGAACATGAGCTAATTAGAAATCCTAACGAGTTGTTCGCAAACGAGCTTTTTTGACAACCCTTGTTGAAATAACTTGACAATACAGAAAAATACATATATCGGAGACTAAACAGAAACAATATAGTTATAACTCAGTGCATAAGCATGCTAATAAAATAGAAACAAATAAAATATAGAATCTAGTCTAGAAAAATTATTATTAAATAAAAAAAATGTGACAGAATGTGACGCAGCAAGAATGGTAAGCAGTTGTTGCATCACAAGCAGTGTAGAAAGCTCATTGTTTCAGGTTTCAGGCATGCAATTTCTTCCAGATTTCAACCGTATTGAGTTTTTGGGTTGTTTAGTAAAAAATTGAGAACCTAGGCTAAGTTTATGGGGTACACGGCGGAAAATTAAATTTTAAGGGAGAAGAAATTGATGCAATAAATATCAGACCAAATTTGCCCGCAAAAGTCTAATTATAGGTCAACAAAAAACAAGCCTTTTATCCCATTAAATGAGGTCGGCTACCTGAATCATTTCTCTCCAATTTGTCGTATTGAGCGTCATATTTTTATTTAATTTTAGTAAATTAATATCATTTTTTTATGCAGCATACCCAAGTCTTTTAAGTCTACCTTTACCTTTCTTAGCATAAGTCAAATCTAAAACACCTACTCCGCTAACAAGATCATCAGATGGTCGGCGCTTAATATGGACAAACCATCTATGGTGACCCTATCTAATCTTGTTTGACACTGAAGCTATTCCAAACCTTTCATGAATATATTTATTTCGCATTTTGTCACTATGTGTAAAACCACTCATCTACCTGAGCATTCTCATCTCAACAACACAACTTAATTATATGCTTCTCTTTTACAAGGCAACATTATGCTTCATTAAGCATTGCAGATCTCACCACCATCTTATAAAATTTTCCTTCAAGTCTAAGCAATATTTTTCTATCACCCGATAGGCTCGATGCATTCCTCCACTTCAATCATTCAACTTGAATTCTAATAAAACATCCCCATCTATATCACCATCACTTTTAACAAGAGACCTGAGATATCTAAAACTTTCACTCATTTGAATGACTTGATCACCCACTATTATAAACCCGCCGCTAGATCTATTATTATTAAAATTACAATCCATATATTCAGTTTTAAATCTACTCAAATGAAAGCCAATAAACTCTAATGTTGACCTAAATTCAAGTTTTTCCTAAACTCTCTTTAGTCTTAACCACAAAAAGGATAACATCAGCAAAAAGCATGCATTAAAGTACACCCTCCTGTAAATGTCCAGTAAGACCATCTATAATTAAATTAAAAAGATATGGGCTTAAAGTTGATCCCTTATGCACACTAATTGAAATAGGTCAATTACTAAAAATCAAATTAGGTTATAACCAAGCTAATCTAACAAGTTTTCAACCCTTTTTATAATAACATTAATTTTGGCCAATTTTTTAATTATTTTTAATTGACTTAATTTACTATATTGAATTATTCTCTTCAAATAAAATATATTTAAATATTTGAATAATATTTTGACTCGACCTCAAAATAGGATTATACAAAATTTAAATATTAGCCTAATCCTTCCAACTTTATTCATATAAATTGAATTATTGATTAATTTATGAATCAATGAAATACGATTATTTGTAAAAAATAATTAAGCACATTTATTATTTGAGTTGTGTATGTAGAGTTTTTACTCCTCCCTCCCCTCTCTACCAACTTTAGCATCAAAGCAAACTCAGAACAATATGTTTCTTGAACCAACTCATTCAATTCAAATATTGATCAGCACAGCTTTATTTCTCAACTCTGCACCTAAATTTCGCTAACTACAAACAACTGAATTGCATTGTTTCTGTATGTGTAAACAATTTAAACAACTGAATCTCTGCACCAATTTATAGAACAAAGCTCCAGATTATTAGACTCTTTTAAGATTATTGATAATGTCCATACAAGTATGAAACAAATAGTGACAATGACACAAAACAATAAATAAATAGTGGTAGATGCGAATCAGAGAGCAAGAGATGCAAGGTGAGAAGCAGCTTAATTTCTTCGAGTGGCTTGTCGATTGTTGTGAGCGGGTCAAGCTAGCCCTCAATCTTGAGCATCAATCAGAGGAAGGAAGGAGACGGTCGGCGTTACTGTATGTGTAAGAAGGCGTTGAAGCCGAAGAAGATGAATCCTACCTTAAATGTGCAACCCTAGTCGAAGCCCTGCATGTAATCCATTGGAACCACATCGCACCACACTTGCTCCTACAACTGATCCCCAATTGAAAATTCGACCAAGCACTGTTCATCCACGTGTATCTCATTTCCTTTCTTCAACCAGGTAAGGGAGTAGGACTGGAGTTGTTTCCATGTAGTCAATCTCAATATTTTTACCATATCATGGACACCACATTTTCACAACTCCCACTATCGATGATCAAACTGCAAACATTTTCCTTTACCTTACACTTAGTACGAAAGATACCGTGTCTCAACCATGATTGATATCGCTCCAAATCTGACTGCAGAACTCTCCACATGAATGACAATTTTCCATCGTCCCCTTAGAGCTGAAGTTCTTCCTCAAGGCTATCCTTTGACTCCTCGTCCTCCCCCTCAACCATGCCCTGATCTGTGAACAACTCTGCTTGTAAAACAGCTAGAGGTTATGTTTCCATAGCCGTGGCACCTAAAACACCTCCTGGCAAGTAATGTACTGGAAGAGCTACCATTCTTCGGTTTTTTTTTTCACTATGATCAGTCTTGTCATTCCCCTATCCTATCGCACTAACTCCTCTCGAGGTAACTTTTTCGGTCTCGGTAGTTGTAGTTAACTGTCTGACTGATAGTTGTTGCCTGAATAAAGATTGTTGCAAGCTCTGTTTTGGTTCTCTCCACCTTCAAGGCTAAAGTTTGAACATCCCCCAGCAACCTAAATAGTTGTAACTACACAATATTGCTATAGCGGGCTTTAGGCCCCCCATGCATCAGGCTATAGTGTTCTCCTCTAGCTCAATCAACTCAAATATTATCTGTAACTGGTCGAACTGTGCCGAGAACTCCTCCAGTGAAAAGTCTCTTTGCTGCAGATGGTGGAGTCTTAGAAACATATCATGATAGCAATGAGGTGGAAGGTATTTCATCAACATTGTTTTCTTCATCTTTTTTCACTTGATAATCTTATCAATGTCTTCTCTTTTCCTATCTTTCTAAACTCTCCCACAATAAACTTTCCTTTTCAATTTAATTGCAGCTAATTTCACCCGCTTATCCTCTAACACCTTATATTCAAAGATTCTCTTAGCTGATTGCAGCCAGTTAATAAACACATATGGATCCATGCTCCCATCAAACTCTGGTAGATCCATCTTAATGTTGAAGTCCCTGTGTCCTCCGTATGTGGGCTCCTCTCTCATCCTCTTTTGATATTGAATTTTGAAGCGACGTGGCCACTATTCCTTGTCGTTGATGTCTTCCCTAGGGAACAAATTCAGATCCTCGTCCCTATCTCCCCTTCGACTCTTCAGATCACAATTGAGGGTAATCTCCCACTTGGTTTCATCGTCAATTTCTGCGAGCCTCTGTTGAAGCCGATAGACCTCCCTCTATATCTCGTTTAGGGTAGTTTCTGACATGTATCTCCAGGGTGACATGATTAAGGTTGGGTTTCGAAGGGGTGGTTGAGGATAGAAAATAAAAGAGAATTTTTGGCAGAGGGTTAAGGCAAATGTTAGGAAACCCTAAAGTAGGACTAGAGTTAGGCTAGCTCTGATATCAAATGATATTGAATTTAATCTGAAAACAACCAAATATGATTATTATTGTTGGAAATTAAAAAGAAACACAAGGATTCATAAAATTGGAAATAAACTGACACAAATACAAGTGGGACTCTATGAGGAGGGGGAGGTGATGACCTCCGGCTGGACAGCGGGTCTGGGATGGTTTGGAGAGGCTATGGCAACAATTAGGTGAATGGTAGGGACGAGGCAACAGCAAGATAGGTGCTTGCAGGTTGGGGCAGCAGTAGAGGTCGTTGGAAGGCTGGTCGGAGGCAGAGATGGCGCAAGAAGGCAAGAGGGACGACAGCCGGAAGGAGCAGATGGATAGGGCAGCAACTAGAAAGGGGCAAGTGAAGTTGAGCAGCAACAAGAAGGTGAGGGTGGGAGCTGAGCGGCAACCGGAAGGTGCGGGTAGGAGCTAAGCAACAACCAGAAGGTGCAGGAGGGGCCTGCAAATTGGAAATATGTCGAATAGCGCAAAATTGACGAGATAACCAAGTCCTCAGAAAAGAATACAACCGAAGCAACATCTATAATCGGATACAACCTTAATGAGGGGAAGATATCTAGCGGCAGGAGCTCTAAAATAAAGAACACAAAATTGAACCCTAAAGCACTCAAACAACACATAAATACAGCATAAGAAAAGAAAAGGAAAAAAGAAAAAGGAGGGAAAGGGGGTGATAGTTCCCGCCCCTTGAATTATCGAGTAATCCAGAACAAGCTGGACTGAGCCCTCGGTTGAACCAAAATTTTGTAGAGTTGTCTGTCCAATACAAAGACCCAACAAAACTCATTAAGGAATAAAGAGAAAATGAAATTAGTAAAAGTACCTTTTGATTAGATAAATGAGTCTCAATATTTCATCTAAATGAAGAAAAGCATCCTAATTTGAGGTACAAATCTAACTATGTTGGGAACACCCTCATAAAGATGATAACCAAGCAAGAATGCAGTCCCAATTTTAGTCATGCTAGAGCCGAATGCATGCCAATAAGTAAGATCTAAGGAAATTAGAACTGTGAAGAAATTATCAAATTTGCTCAGCCACCAACCAACCCGGAGTCATGCAAGCCACCTTGGCCCAGTGGTTGAAATCTTTGTCTTTCAACCAAGAAGTCCTGGATTCAAAGCCTTTTATATGTCGCATGTGTGTGTTTGCATGTGTGTGAGGGGGAAAAAAAACCCCACCCAAGACTAGTAAAATGAGGTATCTAGCCATTGCTAATATGGACGAAACAACAAAAACCGAAATACCCAACAAGTTGATAATGTAGAGTTGCATGCACTGCCAGAGCAGACAAAAACCAAAATAAAGAAAGACGTACCTTATCCTCCAAAGATCTTTGTAGCATGGCCCTTAATTAACAAAGTTGAATGAGGAAGCATGGATAACACAAAACAGCCTCAAGTGATGCTTGGATAAAATACAAGATCACAAATAAGTTCACATCACCCAGCATGATTCTTGTAATTATTATTTCCATTTATTTGAAAAGCAAGGTGGAGTGTATGATGTTTGGTTGACCACTCCATCCAAATAAATGTGGAACCCCTCTGCTTTACTTTAACATTTTTTATGCATTGCTGCGTTTTAAAAATTAGGATTAAGATCCCTACTTTTAAGGGATTTATTTGAACTTTAAAGTTAATCATGTGTGGTTTTCTAATTCACCATTCAATATTATTTTAAATTAAAATATAGAGTTCCCTTTTAGTGTTGAGCGGCTAACTGGCCTCCTCCTTGGCATAACGCCTTCGGTAAGGGATTCATGTGATCCCATCCAGCCACCCATTTTTGCCATGAAACATCGAACCATGGCCCTCCTTAATCAATCCCCATTAATATTAAATCTAGTCACTAATCCATATAAATTTTAACTCAATGCAACAAAAACTTACCCACCTCAAATTTTTTCGCCAATGTCACATTCATATAGGAAGGAATGCTTTCAATAAAGAAAGTAAAGGAAGCCAAAACTCAGGCCATCACTAGTAAATAAAAGAAGAGGATTCTTCCATAATGATAGCATGGTGAGAGCATCAATGGCCACCATCAATAAAAAGGTGAGGAAGGTTAAGGTAGAATGTAAGTATTCTTCATGCTATAAAATCCACAAGTTCCAATCAAGAATTAAGAAACCAACCAAATAAAAGTGAAATGCTTAAGCTTGCTCATTCTAAAAAGCAAAGAAAGATTTCTTATTAAAGCATTGACCCCACTGCAATTAAAGCAATAGACCTGGACTTATCTAAACCAAAATAAAGTTTTTACCATTTTTTTTTTATTTTTTCTAAACCAAATTTTTTTTTTCACAAAGCAAATTTACAGCAAGGGTTGGCTTGATAAAGTAAATCAATTTGCATGAAAAACTAAATCACAAAAGAAAATCATGAGTAAACACTAGTTATTTATGATATTCATACTTGACTATCATAAGAAGGTACAAATGCCAGAATTATTCCTTTATTGACTGTCATGGCCAAAACAGTTCCACCCTGCAGAAAAATGCATTTTTAGCACCCCAACTTTTGTAATATACAGTAAATATCATCATTCAAAAAAAATCTATTATGTGTGTGATTTAAATTTGCAAATACATTTGCAGATGATGAACAAAAGTACAACCAAAAACATTGTTATATGAACATATACAAAAAAAGATCAAAAGCTATTTACAACTTAATGGAAGAATCAATCAAAATATCAACAACGGCAAATCATACGTAACAAATTAAGCATGTCAAATGGACATAGTCAACAGGAAAAAAAACAAACTCTGGCATCTGCTAAAGATAAAATCTCTCTCATTCAGATGCGCCAGGGAAACAAAAAAGAAAAGTCGCTTATAATCTGAAAGTCAAGTGCAAGATCAATTTGAACTTTGGAGTAATGTAATATCTGCTGCTACCCTTGCTACTCTTACAGCTGCTTCTATTCATGTTCCTAACAAAATTACAAGCAATCCATGTAGAGTTACAGGGACAAGGTTAAAATACAAAAAATTCACAAATCTTTCAAGCACAGTGAACAGGGTCAGTATCCTTCAACATGAAGAGTTGGTCAATATTGTTCTTCCAATATAAATTAATTGTTGTTGGATCTTTCAATGTTTCCTCCATGGACACACAAAAATAACAAAAGCATTTAACGTATACATAGTTAAACATATTGCTCCATTGAATCTTCATATATTCATATACCCTCAAATCGAGCACTTAAAAGAACTAACTAAAAGGCCCTCGGACCTCCATAAACACCCCTGGATAATCCAAAATAAGAAAATTAATGAAAAAAAAACAAAAAAATAAATAAAGAAAAACAAAAAAGCATGCACTTCGTGTTTTTCAAAAAGCATAAGAGAAAACTTGAGGTATAAGATTCACGTGCATTCAAACAATTTTCAAATTCTTAAGTACATGCAAGTCCCCGACCTCTTAAAATGTTAGATCTTATTTAATAGTCTTACTTTGTATTCTCGCTCTGGATTACAAAAACCAAAACTGATGCCCAAAATATGAGATTTGTTCCATCCAAGGCCACATTTATCTTGGGGAAAACAGTTTAACATGGTCAACACCAACTATAGTACTTTCAAAAGATAACATGTTTGGTTTTAAATTAGTTTTATTATGAAAGCAAGGCTGCTACGCCTCAATCAAACACATGCAAATAAAAAAATGAACGACTGAGTAACCTGGTGATCAATATGAGCTCCTAGCGGGCAAATCCTGTAAGGAGAGATGACCACCCTCACATCTCCAACGTCTCTTCCGCTCATTTCAGCAACCTTCTTCTTCGCGTCAGAAAGCTAGAACAACAAAAATCCACAAGTTAGTTCACCCGCCACCATAAATATACCACATAATGCACCACATAGGTCACGGTAAATGCACCAGAAGATATCATTGCTCAAATCCGTACACAAGGAAGAACAGATCTAAAAGCAGCAGCAGAGCAAACTACACTAAAACGACCCAACTTCACAACCTCCACCAATGGCGACACTCCTCACCCAAATTACACGAAGAAATCCAGAAATAAAAAAAAAATATCAAAAACTGACACCAAATAGCCCATGTCGTCGTGTTAAAATGGAAAAGAGATCGATACAATCACCACCGGAGCAAAGAACTGGTGGATAATATACATTAGAGAATTCAAGAAACAAGAACAACATAAAACCAAGTTCGAGCGATTATCTCACCTCCACAGCGGAGGGCCAAGAAGAAGCTCCCATTTCCCCTAACTTGGCAACCAGCGATCGGACAATATTTTCTTTGTTCGGGAGGGAAAAGGCCAAAAGCGCGACTTATTAATTAAGGCAAACCTTTCTATCTTAATTAGCATAAAAAATATTGTATTTTAGATTAAATTATTTATCTTTTATTATTAAGATCTCGCACTAACGTACTTCGCATCATATGCCAACTTTATTTGAATATCAATTCAAACTGAGTTTGAAAACCATTTCAACATGATATAAATAGAGTTCAAATAAAGTTGAAATCTATTTGAACGAAGTTATAGTCATTCAGATAATGTTTGAATAAAATTTTAACCCTATTTCAATGGAGCTATAATTGTTTGGGCGGGACTCATTTGAATTATTTTCAAATAGAGTTTATTTAAACTAAATACCACTGATTTTGACATTTTTAACACAACAAATAATTTAAATCCATATTTATCATTGAATCACAAGTCGGAGAGAGAACATGAAGAGGGAGGGAGGGAGGGAGGGAGCGAGATGAGCAACAAAGTTAGTGTAGGGATGACCAGGATGATGGGGATCGAAGAAATTTTTCTTTGGCTTTAGTAGAAGAGAATTTTTCCAAGTAGCTACTTATAATTATACATATTTGATTTTCTGATTACCTAATATCTTAGAGAGCTGTGTCGTGATAAGAATGTGGGAATTAAGTATAATAAGTGATCCTAATTTTTAATTTATGATCATAGTAAGAATATATCTTGAATGTTGGGTCTTGGGCTCTTATAAAAATAGTGATGAGACATCTCTTGAGCTCATTTGCTTCAGCATTTTCTCATCACTTCTTAGATCTGGTCGCTCCCTATTTGTGTATTTTGCTATGAAGGATTTTTACTCAATCTTATATGAACATCCGGATAAGAATCTGCTTTGTAGCATGTTCAATAAGCAAAAGTGTCGAGAGGGCGAGAAAGGACATAAGGACAACGAAGCGGAGGCGGGCCGATCGGACTTCTGGCCATAGGGGCTCGTCTAGGAGAGGATTACTACAATTTTAGTAATTATTGTTCAATTCAAGCAACATATGTATTAAAATCTTATTTATTTATTTATGATATAGTAGATTAAGCTTTACTTTTCCCTTCTTGGTTGTAGAGTTTTACTCTTAGGGGTTGTTTGTTTTCATGTAAAGTAGGTGTAAAGTAAAATAAATACAAGAGTTTTTTTTTTTTTTTGGTTATTTTGGCTATCTATAAATTAAAATTAAAATTAAAATGCCCGGGAATTTATAATTACAAAAATAGTTAAAAAGCTTCACATTAAAAAATTGGTTGAAATCAAACGCACAGCTAAATTACCTTCAGCTCGCTCGCGAGTCATTTCACGTAAAAAAGACTTGTTCCCTCTACTTTGTTTGTTGTTGCATTGTGTGGTTAATTCTTTTCATTGTTCGCAGTTGTAGCCTCCCAATTGTCAAGAGATTTTTTTTTTTTTTTTGAGAAGTAATGAAACTTTGTTTTCTTTGGAGAGTAATAAGCAATTAAAGATAATAAAAATAAAATAATCTGTTGTTGTAACATCCGATTTTATTGCTCGGGAAAGAAGAATCAAAGAGCTAAGCATGAGAGAAGACGAAACGAAGAGTCAAGCAAACGAAAAGCCTTAAATTGTTTAAAGAAACGACTGTGAAACTACTGAAGAATAAGTTGTTGCTCAAAAAACCACGGTGGCTATTACAAAAACTTTAAAAAAAATCAAACTGCAGCTTTCTAGCAGTAACCACAGGCAGTCAAGTCTGATGAGAAAACGTAGTTTTTAGCTACAGCTTTTTGAGAATGTAGGCAAAATGCAGTTTTGCAAAATAGAAAAAACTGTTGTGTGGCACTGCACCACTGCTCCAAGCGCACCCCAAGTGACCAGTCGGGACATCGAACAAACGAGAGAGGAAGGGAGGAGGGGGTTGAAATTCAAAGAGGCAATTTAGCTCTTTAAAGTGTCACTGCCTAGTTAGCTGGACAGTAAAACGACAAATACGAGAGACGACAGACACTAACTAGGGCTTCTCGTGCTTCGATCAAAATTGAGGTGGTATCAGTGTCAAGCAGTGGAGTTGGCGTCGGTGTCATGCAGAAGTGGAAGCGAGGAATATGTGCTTGAGACGTGGAAGGGCAGAGAGGCGGCATTCCGACGGTCTGGTGCAAAGGAAGAACATAAGGAAAGAGGGAGTCAAAGTTGTGTGTGTTTGGAGTTATGTTGAAGGAGGAGATCTCGTGCGAGGAAGGCTCTTGATCTGAATCTCTCGCATGCAGAAGGGAGGAAGGCGTAGTTTCGCGCGTGGTTGGGGCTTGACCCGATGACTAGTAAGATTTGTTTAATTGATTTAATAATAATAATAATAATAATAATAATAATAATAGTAATATGATATATGGCAACAAATCTTCATGGAGCACAGACCTCCATATTGTACCCACTGTAAGATGTTTGGTGATGTACTTGATAAATGCCACAAGTTTCATCCAAAATTTAAATAAAAGGTTCAAGTGAATAAGAATGGGTCTAACGCCACTGCTCTGGACATTTTAGTTCCATCTGGAGAGAATAATAACAGACAGAAAGTGCGTGTTCCCCCTGAGGACCCCCATGACACTGTTGTTACTGTTGCTGCGAGTGATGTGTGTTGGCACCTTCAATCCCCATAGGCAACAATACTGACGAATTATTCCCTACAAATGATAGTGTTCAGACTGATAATCAGGAGAGTCTCATAGCTCCACTTCTTCAGGAAGTATTCGGTGTAGAGGCAACTCATACTTCACATATATTAGAACCTATTGTGTGTACTACGGTCGGTAATTTTTCTGCTTCAGCTCTATCACTAATTCTTCGGAAGAGGAATGGCTGGTCTATTCTAGGAGAAAGAAGAAGAATGGAGGTCAACTCTAACTCGGGAATATATTGGATGATACATTGGTTACTACTGGCAATGACAATCATCTTACCAGCTTATTAGCTTGCTCCTTCCTTAGAATTAAAGGCAGAGGCATGTCGGCACAATTTTAAGGGGGGTCATCCTATGGAAGTTGTTGGTCGCCGAAATGGAAATCCCGTCACCCGCTTCGGATGCATATTTAATTTATGTATGTATTTAAGTTTAGAAAATAAGAAATCAAACTGATCTCATCTCTTTCAAAGTTTAAATGAAAGAGCACTACACCTCAAGCTCTGTATCTATCCTGAAACATAAATACAAGATTTGAGGGTGAGGCTCGATCAAACAAACTAAGAAATATATGACATATGTTTGGCCTACAAAACCATTTTATTCTAAGCTGACAAGTTCCCTAATTTAATATGAAAAATTAAATAGGGTTTATATTAAGTTAGGTTCAAAAAAGCTTCATATAAGGGCAAGCCTCTATATTTAATTATATCTTAGATAACCGAAGTCACCTAAGAAAACTCTCAATAAAAATCAAAGGATACGGTCTTCAAGAAGTTCAAAAGGATGAGACTTTTCAACGAGATCGGACAAAGAGGTGTGAAAGGGGAATGACTCAAATTTAGAATATTTTGTTTTGAAATCCAAAGGAAGAAAAACTAGAGGATATCACGGGTCCTGAGGAGAACCTCGGTGACTTCCCAAGCTATCCCACTGTTTGGCTTCAATTTAGAGGAGAAATATTTAAGTGTTTAATCTTGTCAGTTTTTATAATTAGGGCTTACATTCGTGTGAAACGATCACACAAATAGTTTGTAAGATGTGGGAATTTAGATCATGAAGAACAACTACCTCAGAATCTTAAGACAAGTTAGGGTTTATATTGTATAGCAGGGTTATACAATGGCCTAAAGATAAGTTGAGGATTTATACTGCATAAGCAACCAACCTCGAAGTCCTATGGATTTTTGTTTAATTCTAAGAAATGGATTAGCTGGTGTAGGTATGTTATACGGTCGAAGATGGTTGTGTTGCCCACAATTCTAGCTCTAAGCTCTTCGTCGTAGTAAGTTCAAGTTTTCTAATATGTTAAGTCATGATGTCAAATCAAATGTTTTATAAGGTTATGATTATTTAAATTATATGGGGGATATTAAAGTTGATTAGAGCAACACCGGTTAGGATCTTACAGGTCCCTCATTCCGACACCACAATTTTCTTTTAGATTCACTTAGTCCAAATGAATTTACTAAACTCAACTCAATGAGCTCCATACTTTTATTTAGACCATGGGATCTTGTTAGCAACCGTAGGTTACCTCCTCCAAGGGATTCCCGATCATCTGATAGAGACGTTTAATTTAGTTGCAATTTTTGTTTTGTTTTGTTTGTGACTAAATTTTGAGTTGTCTTATATTTTGAATGTTGTGGAGGTGAATTTTATCTCGTATGATTTTAGTTTTGATTTCAGTTTTGTGGCTATCCTAAAGGTTTTGGTTTTGACATGCAGGGTGACATTGTTATGCAGGTTCCTAAACCTGAAAAGTACAGTAAAGAACGTGCAGGAAAAGAAAGTAATGTAAACTATAAAAGTGTATTTGTCGAGTCTTCTAGTTCCTCCACCTGAAAGTTTAATACTTGCAAGGCATATATATGTAGGAAAAACAGAAAATACAGGTATGAGGTATGTCTATCAGGTCCTATGTCATATCTTAGTGGGTCCAATTTATTTCAGTGTATAGATGGTTTCTTAAGCAAAGAATAATGAGTTTTAACCGTCCTGTGAGAAAATTTCAGGGACCGGAGCCCGGGCATCTCACAATATCTTGAAAAAGTCTCGAGCACGTCAAACTCATTAGGTTGCTTATTAACTCATCCTTATCATACCCTTATGCTCAATGAACTGATGTTTTAACCAAACCTAAGGATGGGGTAATTATCCCTTGATATGTTATTTATAAATAATATAGGTAAAGACCCTTTGAGGGGAATTTGGCCTAATTAAGAAACTTAGCACTTTAATTTTAAAGATGGTCTTGTGGTGGTTTTGAAAGGTTTAAAATTAATCATAGGTTGTTTTTTAAACCTTATAAGACAAAATTTTGATTAAGCCAGACTCACTACTAAGCCCTTA